CTTAGGCAACGAACAACGCCGCCTCAACACCATCATCTCCACCGCCAACTCATCTCGTTTCCACCTCAAATTCATCACTGCCAGCCTCGGTGCGTCTACGACTAAGTTCCGGACCCTCCTCGATATTGGAGTCACCGGTAACTTTATCACTGACTCGTGTGTCCACAAAGCCAGTCTCACCTCTACCGGTTATGACTCCCTGATCACGATTCGCCTAGGGGACAAAGGCACTGCCGTCGTAGTAGACCGCACGGTTCCCGAGACCACCATGACCATCGGAACCCTCCGCAGTCAGGTCTTGTTTGATGTCATGCACTTGATGTGCGACATCGTCTTAGGAACCCCGGGGCTGAACCGCTACATGCCATACGCATTCCACCCCAACTTCCTTCTCCTCACCAACCCCCCCGACACAACCATCGACATCCCCTATCTCCCATATCCGACCTCCCAAGGCTCTGTCACCCCGCACCAATTCCTCCACATTGCTCGCCTCAACCCCGACTCCGCCTACTACTTTCTTGTCCTCGATCGCGAAAGTCCCAAGGACTTACTCCCGACGGACAAACCCGATCAAGCCCCCCCCTCCAATCCCGCCATCACTTCAATCCTCAACGAGTTCAGGGACGTCTTTCCCGAGTCCTTACCCGTCGGACTACCTCCGGATCGTGGCGTATCGCATACCATCGACTTGAAACCCGGACATTCTCCACCTTGCCGCCCTTCATACCAACTCTCTGTCCCCGAAGCCGAAGAAATGAAGCGGCAACTCGGTGAACTCCTTGAAAAAGGGTTCACTAAGCCAAGTTTATCCCCCTTCGAAACCAGCTGCCTTTTTGTAAAGAAAGGTGGAACTTCGGAACTCCGCATGTGCATAGACTACGGCGCCTTGAACCGGATCACGATCAAGAACAAGTACCCACTACCTCGGATTTCCGAGCTCCTTGATCGTCTCCGTGGAGCCAAGTACTTTACCAAGATCGACCTTCGCAGTGGCTTCCACCAGATCCGTATCCGCGAGGAGGACACCCACAAGACCGCCTTTCGCTCTCGGTTCGGGCACTACGAGTTCCTCATGATGCCATTCGGACTCACCAATGCCCCCGCTACCTTCCAATCCACCATGAACCACATCTTCCGCAACCTCCTCGAAGTCTGTGTCGCCGTCTACCTTGATGACATCCTTGTCTTCAGCCCCACCTTCGAGTCCCACCTTCAGCACCTCCGGCAAGTCCTCACGATCCTCCGAGATAAAAAATTATATGCCAAGCTCAACAGATGTACGTTTGCCGCTTCGAGCGTCGAATACCTCGGTCACATTGTCTCCGTTGAAGGCATCCGTATGGACCCCTCCAAGGTCACAACCCTCGTCGAGTACCCCCCACCCAAGACCCTCGTCCAACTCCGTTCCTTCCTCGGCCTTGCCAACTATTACCGCCCATTCATTCGCAACTTTTTCGAGATCTCTTACCCTCTCCACGAACTCGCCCGCAAGGACGAGCCCTTCCATTGGAACGATCGCCGCCAACACGCCTTCGACTTACTCAAGCAAACCATCACCACGGCCCCTATCCTCAAGATCGCCGACCCCACTCGCCATTTTTATGTCACCACTGACGCCTCCGACTTCGCCATCGGAGCCGTACTGTCTCAACATTTCCCCCGCGACACCGCCGAGACCCCCTCCATCAAGGACTCGCCCACTCATCCCGAGGCTCCACCTGGCAAATACCCTATCGCCTTCGCAAGCAAGAAGCTCCTTCCCGCGGAGATGAATTACCCCTCCAGCGAGAAGGAACTCCTCGTCGTGATTCACGCCCTCACAATCTGGCGCCCGTACCTCGACGGGCAATACTTCACCATCCGCACTGACAACACCATCCTCTCCTCCATCCTCTCCAAGAAAGATATCACTCCACGCCAAGCCCGCTGGCTAGACTTCCTTGCCCAGTTCACATTCACTATTTGTCATACCCCCGGCAAAAGCAACCGCGTTGCGGATGCCCTCTTTCGACGACCTGACCACAAGCCCCCCGAGAAAGTCTACGCCACCATGACTCATATTCAACTCCTTCCATCGCTTCATCATCGATACACCCAAGGCTATCTCTCCTGCTAAGACTTCGCCACCATTTACAACAAGCTCCGCGATCTTGACCCAGTTCCCAACTACTCCCTCCTCAACAATCTCCTCTACATCGATACCAAAGGCACTCGCCGACTTTGCATCCCCGACACACGAGACCTCCGTACTCAGCTCTTGGCCGAGCACCACGACACCAAGACCGCAGAACATCTCGGTTTCCAGAAGACCTTCGACACCATCTCCCGCTACTTCTACTGGCCTTCCCTACTCRCCGACGTTAAGGCATACATTCGCTCGTGCCCCATGTGTCAAGCTGTCAACCCCTTGAATCGGGCCAAACCCGGCAAACTCCAATCATTGCCCATCCTAACTCTCCGGTGGCAGTCCATCTCCATGGACTTCGTGTGCGGCCTCCCCAAGACCGACCGCGGGCATGATTGCATCTACGTCATTGTCTGTCGCTTGACCAAATGTGCCCACTTCGTCCCTTGCACAACCTCGCACAGTGCCAAAGACGTCGCCACACTCTTCTTCGACCATGTTGCTCGCCATCACGGCCTCCCCGAGAACATCATCAGTGACCGTGATCCTCGCTTCCTCTCACAATTCTGGAAACACCTCTTYACGGCCTAYGGAACCACGCTSAAGTATAGCACTGCATTCCACCCACAGACTGATGGACAAACAGAGAAGATGAACGATACACTCCAAAGAATCCTGCGAAAGTATTGTCATCCACACCAACACGATTGGGATCAGTTGCTCACAGCAGCTGAGATTGCCTACAACAACGTTGTCTGCCCCTCCACTGGCATATCCCCTTTCTACCTTGACCTTGGCTACCATCCCCGCTTACCCTCTGATTTCTTGCTTCCCTCGCAGCTCAGCCCCTCCACCCCTTGCCCCTCTCTCAATGAATGGATAGCAACAATGAACAGACTCCTCAGAGAAGCAACCGAAGCCCTTGAAAGAACACAAGAACAACAAGCCAACAAGACTAAGAAACACAGACGTGACGTGTCATTCAAAGTAGGGGACAAAGTCTGGCTTTCTGCCAAACGCTTTGAACCCGAACAAGGCTTGTCCAAGAAACTCTCGAACAAGTGGCTCGGTCCCTTCCCCATCATTGAACAAACCTCCCCCGTCAACTACAAACTCCAACTTCCCCCTGACATGAGTCGTGTCCACCCAGTCTTCCATGTCGAGTACCTAAAAGAATACCATGAATCCCCGCTCCAGTTCGCCGACCGCCCATATCCTAGACCTCCACCAATCATGCTACCCACAGGCCCTGAATTCGTTGTTGAAACCATCATCAGCCGACGAACCACTCAGGTATCTGATCATCCGGAACCAATCACTGAATACAAAGTCAAATGGACCGGATACCCTAACGAAGAATCTACATGGGAACCTCTTTCTAATCTTAAGAACGCCATGAAACTTGTTTGCGCCTATGATTGTGCTAATCCTACGTCCTAGATACCTCTATCACTATGGCATAAACCCCCGCTAAACCCTTGCAACCCTGCTCTACACACACCCTTGAACCACCCTTCCCTTGATCCTCATTCCTGATGTCTGATCTGCCTTTCGCTCGCCTAGCCTTGTCCTATCTGTCCTCTCCACTACCTTGTCTCTCTCGTCCAATGCTTGTGAACTTGCGTGACGCCGGCGATAAAGGATCTAATGGCAAGCGCACGAGGACGATGGTCTGCTGCCTTACTGTTCATGGAGATTATGCAGCTGGTTTGGCCACCATGCTGTTTCATTGGCCGGCATCCCGACTCGCGGACTTACTGGAGCAGCAACTTGTGACATGGATCTTTGCATCAGTCTGCGACTTCCTTGCTTCCCAGATCAGACCTCATTGCAGTTCGTGTACCGGACGCACCCTAGCACTTGGACTTCGACACTTGAACTACTACTACGCTTCTTAGACTTCTACCTGTCGCAGTTGTTGAAGATCTCTTCTACCACCTACTCCAAAGACCTGATCAAGACCGCTGCAGACCCCCTTTCAAGACACTCGGACACTTTATCCCTACATGAGATTCTGCTTCCGACTCCTTCGGACACACCAGCCTTCACATCCTGAACAAACATTTTCATTTTTATTTTTCCTGACTTTGAAAACCCTGTAGAACATCATTAGCAGATCCCTGTTTCCCTGTTCCCCGTACCCACTAGAACATCAATAGACATCCCCTGTTCCCCTTACCATTGTTTCCCTTACCCACTACGACATCAATAGAAATACCCTGTTTTCCTAAACACCGTTTTCCTTACCCAGTAGAACATCAATAGAAGTTCCCTATTCCCTGAACTCTGTTCCCCCTTCACCTATAGCGAATCATGCAGTCCCCTTAGTTCATCAGTAGGACCACCCTGCTCCCTATCTTCCCTTTACTTCATTTGTAGGACTACCCTGTTCCTTGCAACCAACCCTAGTTCATCAGTAGGACAACTCTGTTCACCGGTACCAAACCCTGTTCCCTCTTACTCCCCCAGCCCATGCCACCCACATTATACCCCTCTTCCCTTTCGACTTGTTAACCAGTGATCGGCCCCGTCCCGTCCTTCACATATTTCAGCATTGCTTCATGATTTTTGGCAGCCGGGACGTTGCGTTCTAGAGGGAGGGGATAGTGTTACGGACTTCGCCAGGGCTCGATCCCTGATCTATCTTTTTGCTGTTTCGGCTGCATTCCGTTTTCGGCCTGGCATCCGTTTTCGGCCTGGCACCCTTTTTCCAAACCCCTCCTTTGGTACCGTAGGATTTTGGACAACTGGCGCCATGCTGCAATTCGGGCGCCACTTTCAAATGCTGCAGTTCTGCCCTCGAGGCCTTTGCAGAAATGCCCCTGGTACCGTACGTGTCACCGGTACTTATACCGGCTCCCCGTACGGTACGGGGACCAGTCTCATACCAGTTCTCTGCTGCTGTACTCGTACTCAGTGTGACTTGCTGTTTCGGCATTCGGAATCCAAGACTTCGACTTTGTGCCTTCCCACTGTGTTTGTGTCCGATCCTCAGTCTGAGTCCGTCGTGTCGACTCAGTGAGTGTGTGTGTGTGCTCTCACTCTCTCCCCCTCTCTCCTCTCCCTCGGCTCACCCTCAGCCTCACGTTCACGCTCGTTACAAAGAAAGTATAAGCTAACATCGACAATACTTTCTGCCTCCTCATATAATCCCCCACTTAAGATATGTCAGGCAAATCATCATCAAGCTTTTCTGGAATAGAATCATAAGATTGACATCAATCAAGAGGTTAAGGTAGTAGGACAGGTCACACGGGGCTACATTCCTTCTACCTCCACCTCAGCAGAATCAGACAATGAACCATATCAGTGAGTTAGTCTTTTCCTTCATAAGAGTTGTCATAGTATGGTAGATCACATGAGATCCTCACCCTCACCCTTTTTTTCTTTCCGTCAGTGGCAGGTAAGTGATAAGGTAGGCCTCATGGGGTCTCACTTCTCTTATCACAATTCATTTTGGAGTAAGGCTGGCTGGTAATAAGGCAGACTTCACAGAGCCTTGCTTCTCCTATTACCGCCTTCCTTATCCCTGCAACTAGGTGATGGGGCAGGCCTCACGGTGCCTAACTTCTCCTATCACAATTTTTCATCGGAGTAAGGGTGACTGGAAATAATGCAGGTTTCTCGGAGCCTTGCTTCTCTTATCACCACCCTTCCTTATCCCTGCAAATTTTTGTGATAGGGTAGGTATTTTGGCCTCGCTCCTTTTATCACTTACTTGCCCTGACGCACGACTTACCGAAAATAAGGTAGGCTTCTCGGAGCCTCGCTTCTCTTATTACCACCCTTTTCCTTAGCCGTGCGTAATAGGGCAGACCTCTCGGGGCCTCGCTCCTCCTATCACCCTCGCAAGTTCTCTCGACGAACTCGGTCGTCGCTTTTGATGCCTCTCAAACCCTGGATCATTTAGAAGTCCTTTAACTCATGCGGGTAGGTCATACGAAACCTGTGCCCCACACCTTAAAGGCCTTCCGCCCGATCTCCGAAATGTGTTAGTTTATGACTTTGAGAAGATGCAGGCTTTAGTCAACTGTAGGGCAAAAGTTAGTTGATGCTGTCCACTTCCACAGTACTTTGACCAATAGCACGCACAATCCTTCAATCCACTGTGAACCCCGCTTTATCAATGTTAGGTGGTCTATTAAGCAAGGCAAAACTGCACGGAGTCGATTCCCTTGCGGCCACATTCCCACAAAAAAACACTCAGATAGCGAGAAAGTTACACGGAACTTCTCGTTCTCACTATGTTTGTCAGCAACAGTTAGTCATACACAGCCCCTTTCTATCAGATCATGGCAGATGAACTGCGCACCGCATTGTGTCACTCGATCGGCTGCGCACATTGTCCGCTCACTTGATTGGTTGTATACTGCACCCTGCTCACCCCAATTGGTCGCGGACAACATCTCTTATCCATGGCACATCGGATTTCGGCCAACTCACTGCTATAATAGGTGATAAAGAAAATAAAATAAAAATAAATAAATAAAATATGGAAGATATGCAAGGAATATGAGCGGGAACGATATACAGAAAGTCAACCTGCGAAATCACACAGCTATCAAAGTAGTCACGTACAAGCAGAGAGTACAAAATACACCGAGATTCTGTCCAAATAAGAGCAATACAATAAGCTTTTGAGCCAATGTTCAAGTCCTCTAGCCACACCAACACAGTATCAAGCGTAGCCCGTCTCTATTTGGCGCCCCGTGCCCAGCCTACACTACTTGCCTATCCTTCTACAGTCGCATTCACGCAATGGACTCACTTCGACTTTGAAGACGAATGTACATGACGTCAACACCATAGCCGATCTCTCACATACACCAGGTACATATTCCTCTCATATTTTTCTCCATCTCTCTTTTTCTGCCTCACTCTCTTTGTGTATGTGTCTTTCTCCATGTGTGTCACGGTGCACTGTGTGTCTCTGTGTATGTCACAGTGGTTGTGTGCCTACTTTCACTATGCCCCCATGTGTGTCACTGTGAATGTGTGTATGTCTATGTGCACTGTGTCACTATGTACGAGTGTATGTCTCTGCGCATTGTGTCACTGTCACTGTGAATGTGTGTTGCAGCGTCTGTGTATGTGTCACTGTGTGTTTTCACTGTGTATGCGTGTGTGTCACAATGTCTGTGTCACTGTGACTGTGTTTTCACTATGTATGTGTGTATGTATGTGTATCACTTATATATGTGTCACTGTGCCGCTGTA